AAAATAGATATCAAGATAGAGAGATAGACAAAGAGACAAAATAGACAGCGAGATAGAGATAAACAGACTGACAAGATAGACAGACAGAAAGATAGACGGACAGACAGAAAAGTTGGATGTTGAAGTGGTGGTTAATGTGTGAATGTTGCAGCGTTCAGCATCATTAGGATGGGGTCTGCAGCTGAGGACGAGTGTGTGGGAGAGACAGAGATGGAGATGGAGCTGTTTTGGCCTGTGGCTGCAGTGAGATCAAAGCTGATGGATGAGGCAATATATCACTGCAATGAGAAACACAGGACGGAGACTCTCCTCGTCTTCCTCTCGGTCTCGCTCATCTCAAACTGGGACAACTCAAAACCAGAGTGGAAAAGTGTCTTGGTTTTGCAGAGAAATGCTCAGCGTTTCAGACAGATCTGCTGATGTGTGTGTGTGTGTGTGTGTGTGTGGTCTTCACTTGAAGAGAAACCCACAGAACAACTAGGAGGCCGGCAGCAGGAGTTTCACATAACTAGATGTTGACTCGTGGCAAAACAATCTGGCCTTCACTGCAAGCTTTTTCTGGCTCAGAGATGTTCACTCAGACAGAAAGAAACCACCTGACACAAGTCACCTGGCCAGCGGACATAGCTGTTTTACATTCCTTTATAGAGGTAAAGGTTTGTATTAATGAAGAGTGAATATACACACAAACAGACCGTCAGCTGAAGAAAGTTCCTCGTGCAAAAGAGTTTTTGAGACTCTCCGTGTTTGATTTTCTTTTTTATACAAACGATTATGCTGTCAAACTGTTGTATAAACGCAATATCACATTCTTAGCAGTGCGATATGGCTGTATATCCTCACTGGTGGGAGACTAAGGCACTCAGCCTGCAGCCTGCAGCTAAAACACTCCTCCCACCGGTGCCAATATACAGCCACATCGCACAGCTACCCGTGCAAAAAATTCACAGATAAGTATCACTTGTTTACTTTACTTTAAAAAAAGGTCTATTTTAACATTAGCACTTATAAAACACCTTTTATGAGACTTTTATACTGACAACACACCTGCTCACAGAGTAAAAAAGTCCAGACAGAGATTGTTTTTTTCCTTTTTGTTTTATCTGTAGTAACATAAAAAAGATTTACAAAACATCTTATGTAAAACTTTTATTCTGACAACACACCTGCTCAGACAAAAACAATCCAGACAGTTAGTCAGTCTGTCTATTTTGTCTGTCTGTCTGTCTCTCTGTCTATTTTGTCAGTGTATCTCTACCTTTCTATTTTGTCTGTCTTTCTATCTGTTTATTTCTATCTTTCTATTCTGTCTGTCTTTTGTCTGTCTGTCTTTGTTTTGTTTATATGTGTGTCGGAGTGTCTTTTTTTTAGTCTGTCTGTCTATCTCTTTGTCTTTTTTGTCAGTTTATCTGTCTGTCTGTCTATTTTGTTTATCCATCCATCCATCCATTTTGTCCCTCAGTTTGTCTATTTGTCTGTCTGTCTGTCTGTCTGTCTGTCTGTCTGTCTGTCTGTCTGTCTTTGTCCACCTGTCTGTCTGTCTGTCTGTCTATGTATCTGTTTGTGTATCTGTCTATTTTGTACATACATCTATCTGTGTATCTGACTCTGTCTGTCTGTCAGTCCAATGTGTCTGTCTGTCTGTCTAATTGTCTGTCTTTCTGTCTATTATGTCTGTGTCTGTCTCCTATCTATCTATCTATCTATCTATCTGTCTGTCTGTCTGTCCGTCCGTCCGTCCGTCCGTCCGTCCGTCCTACCATCCATCCATCTTTCTATCTGTCTATCTATCCATCAATCCATCAATCTATCTATCTGTCCGTCCGTCCGTCCGTCTATCCATCCATCCATCCATCCATCCATCTATCTATCTATCTATCTATCTATCTATCTATCTATCTATCTATCTATCTATCTATCTATCTATCTATCTATCTATCTGTCTGTCTGTCTGTCTGTCTGTCTGTCTGTCTGTCTGTCCGTCCATCCGTCCATCCATCCATCTTTCTATCTGTCTGTCTGTCTATCTATCCATCAATCCATCAATCTATCTATCTATCTGTCCGTCCGTCCGTCCGTCTATCCATCCATCCATCCATCCATCCATCCATCCATCCATCTATCCATCTATCCATCTATCTATCTATTTTTTATGGTACAAACAAACTTTAAACTTGTGTTTTCATCATCATCTGTTCACCGTAGACAGCTTTGTTGATCATAATATTCAGCGTTCTGCTTTTGCTGTGCTGTTTCAGTGTAGACGTGTTTAGCATCTCTTTGTCTGGATTTACGGTTTTTAAACCGCCTCTTTGTCTATCCATTTGGATTTCCGTCCTGTTTAGGGAAATTTGCATAATAGTTTTCCCTGAGCTTGACACCCGTTAAATCTGATCCCACATTTCAGCACCACGTCTGCTGCTTATCACCGTCTGCCACCCGCCCGAGTCTTGTCTGCGGGCCACAATCTGTGTCTAATGAGCTGAACTACTGAACACTCCTCAAATAATGCTTCATTAACAACTCTTTTCCACTCAGTGGGGTTCTTTAGTTGATCTTGAGGGTCTTTGGAGATCTTAAAAGGTTCGTCAAAGTAGTGTTTTTGTTTCTAGCTTTCGTAAAATAGCTGTGCACGATGTTAGTTTCTGAGGAACTTAAAAACGAAAACTGTATACTTCTTTTTTCAGGATTCTTTGTTGAATAGAAAGTTGAAACGTTTTCCAGTTCTGGGTTGCGGCTGGAAGGACATTCGCTGCATAAAACATATGCTGGAATAGTTGGCGGTTTAGTTGACCTCTGAAATAGAGACTAAGCCGAAGGAAAATGCAAAAATGAATGAAAGTTGAAACTTTTTTGCAACATTAGAAATGCCTTTACTGACACTTTTTAGGCTACGCCTACACTAATCCGAATAATATTGAAAATAGCACTTGGTCTAAAAAATGGTCTAAACTCCATGACCACAATATCACTTTCTTTCTATTCTTTCACATATTCTTTCCATCATCCACACTAAAACAACTGAAAACACTTTCATTCATGTATAGTCGTAAGATGCTTTTACCCGTGTCATATCCGTCTGACGTTTATTTACTTTCCATCTCTTTTAAAACATCACGACAACATGTCACAACTGTGGTCTGCTTCCATCGCTAAACTACAGCTCCCAGTAAACATTCAGTGTGGTTTTAAAGAGAGGCAATATGGAGTATGTAGACATTTGACATTAATCTTTAACAAAGCTGTCAAAACGGGCAGCATCCAAAATATCTGCTTTACAGAGTCGTCCACCGTGTTAGCTGAAATGGTCACATGACTGCAACAAATAACTAAACTGCGTCATCGTTATCAAAAACCTCCATTTTCACAGTGAAAAGTGAACATCTCAGACTCATTGTTGATACGTACCCCTGTTTACATTTCTGGGGACAGCAAAATAGGTAACTGGAGAGGTACATCTGCTCGCAGTTTTTGATTTTGCAATCTGCTGTGTGTGCTTTTTGATGATCTCAAAGATCTCTCGCACGTCCTCTTTTGCGTAAATTCACCAGAGAGAGCAATATACGCTTTAGCCTACTAGGCCAGCTTGCTGTCGACTGACTGAATGACTGACCTGCCCACCCCATTCCCTAAACCCACCTGATAGTGTTTACAAAATTAATCTAGAAAAAGAAAAGCTGTTGTAGCCTCTTGATTTCACCAGGTGTTTAACCTGTTGTTTATTCATTTATTTAAAAAAAAATTTTCTTTTGTTTTTCCTGGTTTCTTGAACACACTTGAATCCCATCGTCGCGGTCATCTACGAGCCACGTTCCAAGTCCACCAACTTACATGGCGAGCTACTGGGCAAACTGGTAACTCCAGAAAAGCCATTCCATACGGAGGTAAGCAGTCAACTGGTAGCGCAAAAAAGAAACTGAAGTCGGCAGCGGCATCATACCACCCCGGAGAGTTTGTTTTAAAGACAAAATGCTGCCAGACGTACCTCTGGCTATATAATTCGTGCTCTCCAGAAATTGTTTGACAGACTTGAATCTCGTTATCGCGGTCAACTACGAGCCATGTCCCAAGTCCAGTGACGTATACAACGAATTACTGGACAAGATGGTTACAGCAGAAAAGCTGTCCATACAGAGGTAAGCGGTCAGCTGGTAGTGCAAAAAAAGAAATAGAAGCCGTCAGCGGCGTCATTCCGCCCTGTGGCATTTGTTTTAAAGACAAAATGCAGCCAGACATACCTCTGGCTACATAATTCGCGATCTCCAAAAAATCTTACACAGAAATGAATCCTGTCATCACTGTTAACTACGAGCCGCGTCCACTGTCGTGCTCAGTGAACTACTGGGCACATTGATAACAGGAAAAGTTGTCCATATTGAGGTAAGTGGTCAACTGGTAGCGCAAAAATGGAACAGAAGTCGCCTGCGGCGTCATACTACCCCTAAGTAAATTTTTTTAAAGACAAAAAAATGCAGCCAGACTTTCCATAAATTCTTCAACAGACTTGAATCTCGTCATCGCGCTCAACTACGAGCCGCGTCCCAAGTAAATTGACGCATACCGTGAGCTACTGATCAAACTGGTAACAACAGAAAAGGCGTCTATACGGAGGTAAGCGGTCAGCTGGTAGCGCAAAAAAGGAACAGAAGTCGTCAGCGGCCTCATTCCGCCCTGTAGCATTTGTTTTAAAGACAAAATGCAGCCAGACGTACCTCTGGCTACATAATTCGCGATCTCCAAAAATGTAGACAGGGGTACGTATCCACAATGAGCCTGTGTTAAAAGTGAAACTACAAACTTCTATCAAAGCCTTACAAATGTTTTAATGCGGAATTCATTCGACAGTCTACCAAAGGTATTGTTAAAAATTGTTTTATAAGTTTCATTTTTTTTAATACATTTTAATTTTTATTTTTTGTACAAATATTGGCTTATTTTGGCCCTAATTGGACCTCTTAAACAAACCTCTTAAAACATGACACAAAAAACACACAAATTTGTTCGATTCCATTTTTTTTTATTACTGTTTATCTTTGCAGTACACAGATCTGTGCCAGAAATGGACAAAGAGAGAGAGAAAGAAACAGAACGATGACTACAGCAATGGCTGAGAATTGAAATCCCACATTGCACTTGTACGGATGCATGTTTACCGCCCTAACATGCAATGAAGTTTTCTGGGTTTTCTAGACAGAAGTTTTCTTGGGATGCAGAGCTGCTGGGTTTTGCGTTTGTCGCCGATTCGCCCTCATTCTCGTACGTAAATCCGCGTGCAAACCACGTCGTCGGCCCCGAAGATCTGAGGACGAGAGAAAGGGACAAAGAAAAGTGCCTGTCGATCAGCAGAGCGGCCTGCAGTTCACCTCCATTAAAGAAAGACAATCGCAGCTGTCCGTAATCCCTTTTGTGCGTCATTTTGGACTAAACTAAACGAAGCACGTTTATCTTATGGAAATGTGGCCCAGATTTTTGAAGCGCTGCATTCTGGGATTGTTGTTGTGCAGACGTCGAGCTCTGAATTCTCTCGGCAAACCGTGAGAAATGTCAAGCGGCCTGATTGTCAGGTTTAAAGCGAGCAGTTGAGATTTGGGTCAGGCCTACTATGGCAAACTAAAAACCTGTTTTCATACTTCCAGTACTATTTGTTTGTATGTTTTTTCACTAAATGCTAGTTTTTTTCCTATTAGCTACTAGTGATTATTCTTTGGGTTCTACCTTTTTAAAAGGTACTATTTATTTATTATTCAAGAGGCACTATTTTAACTGCAGAAAAAAAAATGACCGCAACGTTCGCAAAAATGTATAACTTTCTACTTTCTTATTTTAATGAAGGCTGTAAAGTAGTGCACAGCGGTTGTCTATTTTCATAATTTTTGATCCACATGCCATAAAACTATTTATTCCATAATGAAAAATACTAGTGTATATTGTATAGTATTGTATTGTATATGTGTGTGTGTGTGTGTATAAATATGTATATATATAGTTGCAGCAAGGAAATTTTCACAGTATGTCTGATAATATTTTTTCTTCTGGAGAAAGTCTTTTTTTTATTTTGAGTAGAATAAAAGTAGTTTTTAATGTTTAAACACCATTTTAAGGACAAAATTATTAGCTCCTTTAAGCTATATTATTCTTCGATAGTCTACAGAACAAACCATCGTTATGCAATAACTTGCCTAATTACCCTAACCTGCCTAGTTAACCTAATTAAGCCTTTAAATGTCACTTTAAGCTGAATAGAAGTGTCTTAAAAGAATATCTAGTCAAATATTATTTACTGTCTTAATGGCAAAGATAAAAGAAATTGTATTAGAAATTTTATTAGAAAGTTATTAGAAATGAGTTGTTCAAACTATTATGATTAAATGTGTTGAAAAAAATCCTCTCCAATAAACAGAAATTGGGGAAAAAATAAACAGGGGGGCTAATAATTCTGACTTCAACTGTATGTGTATATACATTTTCTATTGAATATTAACTAAATGTGATTAATGAATTTTACTATCTGTTGAATAATAACTAGTATGTAATTTGCATGAGTTGGTACTGAATATTAACTAGTTGTAATGAATGAGTACTAGTATTTATTGAATATTAACTAGATGTAATCAATAAATATTAGTAATAAATATTAGTTATATTAAGTATTAACCAGTATGTAACGAACAAGTATTAGGGTGCTTTCACACACACCTGTAAATCGATTCAGTTGTTCCGAAACAGAGATTACAATTGTTACATTGTTGCTCTTTGCTCTTGGAGCGGTTCGCTTTCACATTGCAAAGTTTCTAATCGGACCAAAAGAGCTAAAACAAGTCACATGCGAGTAAACTCTCCTTACATTGGTCAGAGTGTCAGGGTTTATTTTGCAGCGTCCTACTCAGCTGTCAGGAGAGGTGGTGGTTTGGTGGTGATTGACAGGGCGTGCGCGCGTGCGTGAGGTTTCTGAGGAGAGACGCGGTGGGGAGGGGTGAGGGTGCGCGACGTAGCCTATCTGAGGACTGGGAGGGAGACGCAAGATTACCGGGAGATCATCACTCGTTTGCGGGCATCCGGAGACTCACGAAACTTCCCGCCCTACTCATAATTCTCTCTTCATATAGCCGTATGCCTATTACATATCCATAAACACTATGATATAACCGCGCTCGGATCGGATCGCTTTCTCACTGCAATCGAACCGCTCCAGGGTTCGTTTCAATCGAGCCGAGACCACCTCATTCAAGCGATCTCGGAGCGATTACTTTGGCGCGGAACAGAGCGCGATTGCCCTGTTCACATATGCCAATCGAACCGCGCTAACTGGGCAAACGAGACAGGTTCTGAAACAAAATTGTTGGTGTGAAAGCACCCTTAGTTTCCATTGAGTATTAACAAAATGGGATGAATTGGTACAAGTATCTTTTGAATATTAATTAGATACAATGAATATGTACTAGTATATATTAATAAGTATGTAATGAATAAGTTTTTGTTTGAATTGTATATTAATTAGAATATAATTAAAAACACAACTTTCTGTTGAATATTAAATAAAATTAATAAGTACTAGTATCTATTGAATCTTAACTAGTATGCAATGCATAAGTACTAGTATGTAGAACTAGTTTTAAATATCAACATGCATTAGTATCTAATGAATACCAACAAGAATGTCATGAATAAGTATCAGTAGCTGTTGAATGTTAACTAAGATGTAATGAATAACTAATATAAGTAGCCTGAAAACTTAATAGATACTTAATGGATTCAAGTGTCTTAAATATGTAATAACTATGTATTAGTTTCTATTAAATATTAACTAGATGTCATGGATAAGTATTAGAATCTGTTGAATATTAAATAAGAATGTAATAAGTATTAGTATCTGTTAAATCTAAAATAGAGTTATAAGTAGCCTGAAAACTAAATGCATACAAGGGTTTTTTTGAATAGTAACTAGAATGTAATGAATATATATTAGTTTCATTTGAATATTAACTAGATATAATGAATTATAAGGAGCATCGGTTGAATATTAACAGGTAAATAATGAACACATATTGGTTTCTAAATATTTACAATGTAAATATTAATACTCATATCTTTTGAATATTAAGATGTTATTAATAAGTATTAGTTTTTATTAAATATTCACAAGTGTCTATAAATAAGTATTATTATCTATTGAATATTAACTAGATGTCATGAAGAAGTATTTGTATCTATTGAATATTAACTATGTTATGAATAAGTATTAGTACCTATTGCATATTAACCAGATGTTATAAATAAATATCATTATCTACTGAATATTAACTAGATGTTATGAATAAGTAATTGTATCAGTTGATAATTAACTAGATGTAATGAGTAAGTGGTATAAGTAGCCTGAAGCATGCACTAGGGTGTTTTTGTCTAATAAACGTTGATTCAGCTTGCCGTATAGCAGTGTTAGTCTTGGCCAGTCCTTCTCATTCCTGTGTTCAGAGTCTGATTCTCGCTCTCAAAGGTCGGGAGTGATGGGGATGCTCTTATTTTCTTGTTGAATTTGGATCAGTGTCTACCTTTGGGTGTTTCTTCAACTATCAACACTATCAGCCTTGTGGACCTTTGGAAAGTCGGTCTTATCACACTCTAGAGAGTTTAATGAACTTGTCTTCTCATGATGGAGAAGTCATGATCATTTACATTTCAACACACCGTATATTGTGTTTGACAGTTTTGTGTTGTGGGAATTACATTTTCAACATTTCTGCGGGGGGAAAATGACCTTAAATTTTCAAGCTAACCGTAACAAAAAAAAAAAAAAAAAAAAAAAATTCAAGGCAGTTTTAGCTAAATTAAATACAAATTATTAATAGAATTTTATTTTTAATAATTGATACTTGGTTTTTATCTGTTTTAAAACTTAGCTTATTTATTGGTTTGTTTGATTGTTTATGCTGCAAAATATTTTTATGCCAACCTTATATTAATATTATGTGTGAATAATAATTTACAATAATCGTTAATTTTATATATTTATAATAATATTTACTTTTTATTATGTTTATTTTTATATATGTTTTATTATAATTACTACATTTATAATAATAATAGTTTTAAGACTTAAGTACACTAGTTATTATGTATACATTTATTAATTGAATAAATATCTTTAGTTAGATGTAATGAATAAGTTTTAGTATCTGTTGAATATTAACTAGAATGTAATGCATAAGTATTAGTTTCTATTGAATATTAAGTAATTAGTATTAGTTTCTATTGAATATTAAGTATGTAATGAATAAGTATTCGTTTCTATTGAATATCAAGTATGTAATTAATAAGTATTAGTTTCTTCTGAATGTTAAGTATGTCATGAATAAGTATTAATTTCTATTAAATATTAAGTAATAAGTATTCGTTTCTATTGAATATTAATTATGTAATTAATATGTATTAGTTTCTATTTAATGTTAAGTATGTAATTAATAAGTATTAGTTTCTATTGACTATTAAGTATGTAATGAATAAGTATTCGTTTCTATTGAATTTTAAGTATGTCATGAATAAGTATTAGTTTCTATTGAATATTACAAAGTATGTAATAAATAAGCAGGGCTTAATTTGTGCCGGAATATGCCGGATCCGGCACCTCTGAAATCCGATCCGGCGCCCAATTTTACCGATTCCCCACCTGCCCTGTCCGCTGTTCACTTTTACTTTCTTTTACGACTCCCCAACCCTCTTCACTTTCGTCCGCCACAACCCCCCGCTTTTCACTTTCGTCCTATGTCTGCTACACCCCTCTGCAATCCAACGTCCATCTCACCCCCCCGATCTGTTCCGGGACCTCACAATTCACAAATTAAGCACTGTAATCAACTATTACGAACTATGTAATGAATAAGTATTAGTATCTGTTCAATATTAACAAGTATATAATCAACAAGTATTTGTTTCTGAATATTTACAATGTAATAAATAAATGTTAGTATATATCGAATATTAACAAGAATGTAATGAATAAGAAGTTTCTGAATATTTATAATGTACTGAATAAATAGTATATATTGAAAATATTAGTAAAATATTAAGAAAATATAAGTATATATTGAATATTAACAAAAATGCAATGAATAATTATTTGTTATTAAATAATAGAATGTAAATAATAAATACATTTTTACACAAATTGTAATACAGAGTACATTTGTCACCTTTCAACCCTGTCAGAAAATTATAGTTAAACAAATAGTAATAAAACATAACTATTTTCACGTGAGAACAGGAGGATTATTTTGATCCTAAATTTAAAGGTTACTTGAAAAAAGCATTTGAGACCTTATCTTGTAGTCAAATCGTTCGGTAAAGGACAATCATTTCATATGAGACAGAAGTGAGAAAAGCTGCTCTGTTCCTCAGATCGATGTGCTCCATTAAACATCTCACACCCACTTCTCTCTCTCTCTCTCTCTCTCTCTCTCTCTCTCTTAATGTTAAGTTATATGGAAAATAAATCCATAGGCTGTTTCCTGTCTGAAGTCATAAAATATGATCACGGTGAGCTCTCATAAGAACACTGCCATGTACAGTTGAGGACTGTAAAATCAGGCCGTCTGGAGAAGTCAATGCCAGAAACAATCGTCTAATTTACAGTTAATCGTTTATGGCCAAAATAGTAAAAGATCTTTATAGTTTCTTGTTAACGATGTTGAAGAAACAATTCTGCGTGGAATATGCATGAAGTAAACTAAAATAAAGAAATGCAAGACATAAAATAACAAGTTGAAGAATGGAGTGGAGAATTCAGAATTGCAATAATGCCTACAATAAAACTTTTAAAGCAATTTTTTTAAATACAAATTAACTAGTAATAAAGTAATGAAAGTTAAAGGAAAAAATCTCATAAATTGTGAGTTTTTTCTCAATTATGCATCCCGGGCTCATTTTGATTATGTGCCCCTGTAAACATTTCTGGAGAGCGCCAAATACGTGCCAGGAGCTACTTTTTTGCAGTTTTTGTTTTCACGAATCCACAAGAGGCTGTTGTGTATGCTTTTTCAGATGTCAAATTTTTCTCTCAAGTGCCATTTGCGCCTGCTGTTCTTGCGTAAATCCACCAGAAGCCGCTGTCGACTGACTGACTGACTGACCGACCAACTGTTCCCAAAATCACCAACTTCCCTAACCTTAACCGATAGAGTTTTAAAAAGCACCAATTGACCAGCACCCACCCACTTCCCTAAACCCAACCCACAGTGTTTTCAAAAGCAAACCAGAAAAGAAAACCCCCCTTATTTTTACCACGTTTTCAGATTTTACCACATTCTCACCCTGTTGCTTACTTGTTTATTACATTTTTTGGCTTCTGTTTTTGTCTTACCTTCTTTCTGGAATCGTTCTTCGTCAGGCTCAAACCCCGTTGTCACAGTCAACTCCTTTTCTGCATCTCAATTCTGCCGATGCACATTGTGATCTAACTGGACAAACTGGTAACCGTATGAAAGCCGTCCATACAGAGGAAAGCAGTCAGCTGGTAAGTGCGAAAAACAACGGCGTCATTCCGACTCGTATCGTTCGTTTTAGGGATGAAATGCACCCTTATGTACTTCTGGCTGCATAATTCGCGATCTTCAGAAATGTATATAGGGCTACATTTTCAGAATGAGCCTACGTTGCAGTTATGACTTAGTTTGAGTTTGTCTCGTTATTTTGACTTATTTTATGAATCGTAGCTTTTTTACTAATCACATCAAAGTTGAAGCGAAAACAAGCATTGTGTTACTCTATATTTTCACCCTTATTTTCTATATATTTGAAACTTGCATGGAGGATGTGATTGTGATCTGAAAATCTACAATTTCCATCTAATTGCGCATATTCACAACATAGGCTCATTCTAAAAATACGTATATACGTTTCTGGAGATCGCGAATTATGTAGCCAGAAGTACGTATGGCTGCATTTTGTTTTTGAAACGAACACTACAGGGTGGTGTGATGCCGTTCCTTTTCACTTACCAGCTGACAGATTACCTCCGTATGGACGGCTTCCCTGCTGTTACCAGTTTGTCCAGTTAGCTTGTCATGTACGTTGATAGACTTGAGGCGCAGAGAAGAGTTGGCCACAACGACAGGGTTCGGGAACGGTTCCAGAAAGCAGATAAGACAAAAACAGAAGCCAGAAAATAAAATAAAGAAGTAAATAACCGAGCGAGAGTGTGGTAAAATCTGAAAATGTAAACATTTGCAGAGGGCTTTTCTGTTTCTGGATTGTTTTTTAAAATTGTTGGTTGGGTTTAGGGAAGCGGGTGGTCGAGTCAATCGGTCCTTTTGAAAACAATATTGGTTGGGTTTAGGAAAGGAGGAGGGTGAGTCAGTCAGTCGACAGCGGCCTCTTGTGGTTTTACGCAAGAACAGCAGGCGTGAATAGCACTCGCGAGAGAAATTTGAGATCTCAAAAAGCATACACAACGGCCTCTGGTGCATTCTCGAAAACAAAAACTGCAAAAAAAGTAGCTCCTGTGACATATTTGGTAGCCTCCTGTAATGTATATAGGGGCACATTTTCAGAATGAGCCTGTTCACATTTATTCCGAGGATGTTTTTCGCACAAAGCTAATTTTTTGCTTTAGTAAAAGTTCTGCAGAGGATAGCCCTATGTGAACCGTACAGTGTTTAGCGCTAATAAAAATGTGTTTTTTCACGTGTGTTACCAGGATGAGTTCGTCTCCACGCAGTTCTCGACTCCAGTATGTCACGGGTCCGTCTCCGTCCACCAGCGTCTGTTTGCAGTACATTTTATTCTCAGTCTCCCACGTGGCCAAACTCTGCAAAGCACAGAATTGTCATCATTATTTGTAAATTTGACCGACTAGCTGTTCATACGTGATGTGTGAACTGCAGTATATCAATTGAGTTGAATTCAAGAACTAATTCAGAACTATTCCCGAATTAATCGTTCAGACTGATGTGTGATTCGGATCAACTTAAAACGTAACTTAAAATCAACCATTTTGATGAACAGAGTTCATTAGGATCCTTTGGATTTATCTTCAATGCCTTCTCCATCTTACCCCAGACATGCTCAACAATGTTCATGTCTGGTGACTGGGCTGGCCAATCCTGGAGCACCTTGACCTTCTTTGTTTTTAGTGATTGTTTGAAGTGGAGGCTGAAGTATGAGAAGGAGCGCTATCCTGCTGAAGAATAACACTCTCCTGTGGTTTGTAATGTAATGGGCAGCACAAATGTCTTTATACCTCAGGCTGTTGATGTTGCCACCCACTCTGCAGATCTCTCACACAGCCCACATACTGAATGTAACCCCAAACCATGATTCCTTCACCAAATTTAACTGATTTCTGTGTAAATCTTGGGTCCATGCAAGTTCCAAAAGGTCTTCTGCAGTATTTGTGATGATTGGGATGCAGATCAACAGATGATTCATCAAAAAGATCGACTTTCTGCTACTTTTCCAAATGATCAACTAGAAGTCAAGTTATTATTTGTTGCTCTTACAACTCGGATTGATAACAAGTCTTTTGTCAGGTGGTGTATATTTATATATAGTATTTATTTATAAATTTTTATACTAAGTATGTATTTATAAAATAATTCTATTCAATTCATCTTTATTTCTATAGCACTTTTTACAATGTAGATCCTGTCAAAAAAGTTAAACATAGAAGTTATAATAAATTGAAACCGCGTCCGTTCAGTTTTCAGAGTTAAAGTTCAGTTCAGTGTGCTTTAAATTTCACTGCTGAAAACCCAAACACTGAAGAACAAATCCATCGATGCGCAGCTCCACAAATCCCAAACCAAGCAAGCCAGTGGCGAGGAACAACCTTCATCAATTGACGAAAGTGAAGGAAAAAAAAAACCTTGATATATACATATATGACATACTTTATAAAAAGTATATCATATATGTATAAAATACATTTTATTTATTGTCCCTTTTTTATTTGTTAATATAAAAATACAAAACAGCATTATTTTAAAATGTGTATATGGACATTAAATATTAAATTGTATATCCTATTTTCTTTATAAAAATGTAATCAATAAATAGGTATAATAATTGTGTATTATATATGACAAAAATATATATTCTGTATAATATAAAAAAATTTTTTTTTAAAGAATAACTTTTTCATAAATACAAATTACAAAACACGTCTGTCCTGTCATTACTAACTCTCAGTAAACGTTTGGCTCCAGATAAATGAGAGTCAGAGGAAACTGCAGCAAAACAGCATCAGCAATCAGTTCATAACACTTTTCTGTCTCTCTCTCTCTCACTCTCTCTCTCTCTCTCTTGTTCTCTGTCCTCAGGCACTGTCTTTAAACTAATTTATGCAGCTTGATCTAAAATCCCTTTAAAGTGAGACAGTGTACGGCGTCCTGACACACTCATTCGTCTCGCTCAGACTAAAGAAAACTCACACACACACACACACACACACACAGAAACACAAGTTTCTATAACACAAATCTATAATAAGCTCTGTGCATTATTCGACCACTGCTGTTTAACCAGAGTAAAAGTTAAATAACTTAAAACTATGAAGCCTTATTGATTGACCTTGAATCTAAAGATCGTTCATTTCATCATTCATATTTCAGTCAAATCTGCCCACTGGCCTCTGTCCTTCATGGCTTCCTAACCCTCCCCATATCATAATTGGCTTCATCACTCTCTCTCTCCTTTCCACCAATCAGCTGGTGTGTGGTGTGTGGTCTGGCGCAAATTGGCTGCCGTCGCGTCATCCAGGTGGATGCTGCACACTGGTGCTGGATGAGGAGACCCCCCCCCCCCCCCTCATTGTGTAAAGCACTTTGAGTGCCTAGAAAAGCGCTATATAAATGTAAGGAATTATCATTATTATTTGTTCTGTAGACATTCAAAAAAGTTGTCAATGGGGCTAATAATATTGATCTTAAAAATAGTTTATTTTTATTTTTAATTAAAACAGCTTTTATTCTAGCCAAAATAAAACAAATAAGACTTTTTCCAGAAGAAAAAAATATTATAGGAAATACAGTGAAAAATTCCTTGCTCTGTTAAACATCATTTGGGAAATATTGAAAAAAAAAAAAGAAAAATCACAAGAGGGCAAATGTTTTTAACTTCAACTGTACGTTGCTTGGATAAAAGCATCAGCCAAAATGCACGAATGTAAATGCATGTGACGGAAACCAAATCATAAAATCCCTCCATTAAAACCAGCGCAAGCACAAAGCACATTAAACATCCCATCAACATCATCATCATCCTTCTCTCGGCCTGAGTTTAATGCGCTTTATTGACATGTAATACTACTGATTTATATTGCAGACGCATCTGCAGCATAGGCAGTGAATATTAATAGAGCTACAAAGTTACAGATAAAGAAAAATGTTCAAGGAAAGTGAAGGAAAATAGCAATAGAATCTCCTACTGATACCTAAAGCTCTAGTGGAGTAGATTGTCTTGCTGTGTTCACTGATGGACATTTAGGATCTGACTTCATTCCCTGTGGCAGGTGAGCAGGTCTGTCGCTGGCAGTGGGCCTGGCCAATGAGTCTTGACAGCTGAGGTGACCTGAGGCTTCAGTGGCTTATTTTATATAACGGTGACAGTAGAAAAAGGACTTTTATTTCTCTTAAAGGCAGTGTTTAGTAACTTGAATGTATCATGATGATGTTGAACTAATATTAGACATCATCTAATTGGTTATTTTATGTACAATGCGTGCAAAAAAGCTGAGAAAAGTTACCTTTGTTCTTTCTCGCATCATTTATTTTATTTTTATGTACATTTATTTTGTTCATTTTATCTAGTAACAAAGTTTACATCTTTCATTCATTCATTTTCCTTCAGCTTAGTCCCTTTATTTATCAGGGGTCGCCACAGCGGAATGAACCGCCAACTTATCCAGCATGTTTTACACAGCGGATGCCCTTCCAGCTGCAACCAAGTGCTGGGAAACACCCACACACTTTCCTTTTCACACTCTACGGCCAGTTAGTTACTATAGAGCATGTGTTTGGACTTGTGGGGGAATAGGAGGAAACCCACACAAACACAGGGAAAACATGCAAACTCCACACAGAAATGCCGACTGACCCAGCCGGGGCTTGAACCAGCAACTTTCTTGCTCTTAAGTAATTTTTCAGTGTGTCTGTATTGCTGTGTGTATTATATATAATGGGGGTGTTGTAGTGTTTCTTCAGCCGTTTGCAGTGCAGATGGGGTGCGAGTCAGGACAGCAGGATCTGATCTTCTGATCTCAGTAATAATGTGCTCAGCATGAGACGACACTACCGTCTTACACACACACACACACACACACACACACACACACATTTGTGTTTATAATATCATCATGAAGCCTTAAATTTGACTATACTGTCCCATTATTACACACGTAAAAATAAAGAGTCCAGAAGAGGAGCTTAGCAATTCCAACCTTTCAACATGTGTATTGAAATATAATTGTTTTAATGAACTTCATTTGTTTTTCTTCTTCGTTTGTGAGATACTTGTAATGAATCTTCCACAGCTTCATAGGTTGTCTAAGAAAGGCATTTTTTATCAGATTTTTCTGATGTTTTTTTAATAGGATGTGATGCTTACACACCTCCAGACCTTTTATTCTGCTTTCTGACACTTGAACGACTGCTTGGAATATTTCAGATAATATCAAAAGAGCTTGTTCTGTACTATGAATGTCAACTTTCAAGTCTAAAGTAAAGAGATTCATTCAAACCACAGGTTCAGATTATTATTGTCTGTATTGTTACAATCCTATGTTTGTCTTGTCTCATCTGTTTTGTTTTTTTTGTTCCTGTTTTGCTTAGAACACATCCAATTGGCCACTTCCAGCTTGCTTGATCCTGATTGGCCTGCAGTGTTTTAAAAAGCCATGACACCACTTCCTTGGCAGCCATCTTGTTTTTGGTCACTTGCTTGTGTTTGTTGAAATGTTTGAATATGGTATAGTGTAGATTTTGGATGTGTTTGGACTGGGGATATTGAGATTTGTGAGTACTGTTTGTTTTGTTTGACTTCTGAGATTATATTGAGATTTGTGAGTACTGTTTGTTTTGTTTGACTTCTGAGATTATATTGAGAATTGTGAGTACTGTTTGTTTTAGTGTTTGCTTTGTTTATGATACTTTGTTCCACCGGCTTGTTTGACCTTTGTTGCCTGCTGACATTGATTTTGGATTGTCCTTCAAATATGGTTGCCTGTTTTTGTAAATAGATTGTAAATAGTGTATATATTGGGATAGTAAGGAGTTTGACGCCATTTTCTTTGTAAAACCTTTTGGCCTCTGTTTTTGTGTTGGGTAGTTAGGGTAGTGAATTGTACTTTCTTTTCTTTTATTTTTATCAGGTAAGTTAGAAATTTAATACAAAGTAATTTTTGTTTGTTATTTTGGCCTTGTCAGCTCCCGAATTTAAACCCCAATAAATCATAATTCTTTGAATTAATTTTTGTTGTCTTGTCTTTCATGTTGTGCACCATCCCTAGACAGTGCGTAACATGAAATTGGGGGCTCGTCCATTGGTTATATGCTCTATTAGCTGAATTTACTTGGCTCATTTGTTTTTGCATTTGTTTGCGGGGGGAAATAAGTATTGAACACGTCACCATTTATCCAAGAAAACTGGTGCTGTTGACTTGAAATTGTGTTTACTTGTGTTTGTAACATGGGATGAGAATCAGCACCTCCAAGTCGGAGGCTATGGTGCTCCTGCGGAAAAAGGTGGCTAGACATATCTAGGTAGGAGGAAAGTCCTTACCCCAGGTGGAGGAGTTCAAATATCTTGGAGTTT